CCCTGGGACCTCGTGATACACCGAGCCCTACTAAATAATTCTTCAAGTCATGCACCACAGTTTACACCCTGTTTGTGTGTTTTTCAGAGTACCCACATCCCACAGTAGAAGTAAGTTTCTGGCACTTGACGATTGCTCAACATTGCTTATCTAGTAAAATTCCTGGACACAGTATCCATGTAGTAAACCTATATTTACTCAGTGAATAAACATGTAATTAAAGATGTGTCCTGCATCCCTGGGAGGAATGCAAGGTCCTTCCCACTTTTTTCTTCAGTTTGGCTGACTGAGGAGACACCCAGTTCCTAGAGACCCGTATCATACATAATGTATGAGGTCTGGAGAAAATCTAGCCCTGAATTTGAACATGGATAGTCCGCCCTGATACTTCATCAGTTGGTCTTTTCCCCCCAGAGAAGTGGGCAGGATTTTGCAATGGTAGCATCCTACCTATCTTCTGACAGGGTGATTTGGGGTTTCCTGGAGAACATTTGCTGTGACAGCAGGTTACTATCAGTGACTAGAAAAGACCAGGCACCTCTGAGATGCAGTAGAACAGGTATGGCCTGTTCTTAAGGCTGGACTCAGTTCTTGGCTCAGTCACTTACCAGATGTGTGACCTTAGGTAAGAACCTAATCTTACTGGGCTTCAGTGGATTCATCTACAAAGAGAGAACAATACTCACCAGGATAGCTCTGGGAGGATTAATGGGGTAATACCATAGGAGGCCCAACAGAATGTCCATACAAGGTATGCATTCCATAACTATGTTGAATAAGTAGACAGGGGCCATGTTTATTTGTGGTTCAATAACCCAGTCCCTAGTACAGGACCTAGGAAGGAGTGGGTACTTTAGGAAATCTGTTAAGTGTTTAATAAATGACTAAATGTATTTTACCTTAGTAAGATTTCCCTCTTCCAGGAAGTATTCCCTATTCATTAAAAAAAAAAAAAAAAAAAAAAAAATCCTGCTCACCAAGTACTCAAAGCATTTGTTTTCCCTAGGGTATCTCAAAAGCTCTGAGTTGGAGGATTTGTAGGGGTGACTCTGTCCTGGGTTAGCTCTGAGACCCTCACTCATAGGGGTGGACATTCCTCAGCCCCCATTTGAATGAGAGGAGAGCCAAATCAATGGAGAGGGATTCCAATTTGGTTCAGTACTGTAGGGAGCACAACTGTTTCTTTGAAATTGACCTTCATTCATTTGGAGGGGAGAGCAGTTAGTTCAATAATGGTTTCCTGGTGCCTTTCAGCATTTTAAAAGACGGAAGAAAGATTTGGAGCAAGGCAAGTTTCCAGTGTTTTCTAAACAACTCACTAAGTCCAGTCACTAGTTGGCTGCCCGGCACTTCCTGCTCCCCACCCCCACCCCCCCACATACCGAAATGTACACTTTTCAATAGTCTTGACCAGGCTGTCTCCCCTTGGGTAGGAGTTGGTCACACTGTCACATCAGGCAGCTGGAGGCTTTCTTGGACACTGGGCATGGCCCATGGTGTAGAAATACTGCTATATTCTATTCCAACACTTCCCTGTCCCTCTCTGGTCCTGTTCCAGGGGCCAAAGAAAGAGGTCATTGTTTGATGGAGTCCATCCTTACTTCTGAACTAAGAGAGAGCTGGTCCCTGCTCTAACTTGGTCTGAGGCCACAAGGAAAGGGCGGGGAGAGGTGAGTAGGGTGGTGCAGGTGGGGAGGGCCCAGCAGGAGACTTCTCTGCAGGCAGCCCAACCCTGCTCCCAAAAATAAAAAAATAAAGGAGGAAGAAAAACAAATGGGGCCTTGGAGCAGGGTCCTGTAGGGGCATGGCTATTTTCCCTCCTTCCAGAAGAATCCCAATCCTTCTCTCCTATGGAGAAAACAAACATAGCTATGGAAATCTCAGGCCATCCAGGCACCTGCAAGTCTAGCTCGAATTGGAAGTTCCTCTACCTGTATGTCTCTGCTAGTTAAGCATGATCTTCCTCAAAGGCTCCTGCCCCTCTGAGTAAAAATCTCTTGATGGAAAATTTAGAATCTGGAACATTCTTCAGGTGCCAAAGGAGCTATTATTGTCCATTATGCTACTTTGACTTGAACGTTGTTCTAATTCAGAGGAAGGAAGAATCTATGATCCCATCATGCTGGGATAGTCTTAAACTATTAAGAAAGCATTGATTATGCACCTGCTGTTTGAGCTCTTGGCTAACTTTTGGAGTCCATCTGATTCCTACAGGTCATCTATATTGCTCATTTCACTTGTTGGTTTCCATGGAAGAAGGATGTGCATAAAGCCAGCTCAAGGACAGCACACTGGAGGCCTCAGTGGTAGGAGAGCAGAAGCAAGCTTTGAGAGCATGGGGATGGGGGGTGGGGGGTGGGGATATGACATCTCACTTCCTGTTGTACCAGGAGGGCAGGGTCTCAATAGGCATGAGCAGGAAGGAGAGGAAGCCACTGAAGATGGGCTTGGCAACTTGAAGCACAGGACCCAGAAGGAAGCCACATCACCCCACACCACCAGGTGGCTGGGGGAGAGGGCCAAGCTTACAGCATTTAAAGATGCTTAATGCTGAGGGGTTTTTTTGGCGGGGGTCTTTTTGAGACAGGGTCTCCCTGTAGCCCCAGCTGTCCTGGAACTTGCTATGTAGACCAGGCTGGCCTAGAACTCACAGAGATGCCTCTGCCTCCCAAGTGCTGGGATTAAAGGCATGTACCACCATGCCTGGCCCAATGCTGAGTTTTAAAGGGAGCTGAGAGATTCTCTGGTTTGTGACTCACAAAGACTGGACTGTGAGCCACCTTTTCAGAATCACATGGGGTCTGAGTAAACTTGTAGATTCCTGGGATCTGTCTGATTTACTGAATTAGATCTTCTGCGGATTGGGTCAGATGGCTGCATTGTGATGAAGTTTCCCAGGTGATTCTCATACTTATTAAAGTTTGCCATCTCTTGGTCTCACTCAGCCCTCTTGTTCTCCAGACAAGAGATCTGAAGACCAGAGAGGTAAACAACAGGTCCAGGGCTGCAAAGCTAGCTGATGGCCAAGATCAAAGGAAAGCGCTGTTGCTCCTGACCACCTGGGCAGTGTTATTGCCACTCCAACCTGTTGGGAGCCTCCTACCTGTCTGAAGCTATTTCCCCTGAACCCTAAAGTCAAGGCCTGTACCTCTGATCATTTCTGCATCCTACTGGGACCCTTTCTTTCTTAAACATGCTCTGGTCCTCTGTGTGGTGGGCAGAGCCAGAGGAAGGAAAGAGTAAGATCCTGTTCTATTTTGAGATTTTAGTAACAGGTACTGGACTGACAAATGTGTTAGGGGAAGCACATTGCTATCCCCAACTGGGTGAATGGGACTTGGTTTGGAGCACTCACAGCTAACTTTTACTGAATACTTTCTGTGGTCCAGATTCAATACTGTCTTTCCCTTGCATCAATGCAGACTCCTTGGTGCAAATACTAATTAGTCCTATTTAGAAGATGAAGAAACTGAGGCTCACAGAAGCAATCATTAGCCCAAGGTCATGTGGCTGATAAGAGACCAAATCATATTTCTACAGAACCATATAATGGTCCAATACAGTGCAAACTGTTATCCATTGCTAACCGAAGAAGCCTGCAAAAGGTCCCAAGACCTTGGGAAAGACAGCAAGCTCCTCTGCAATAGGATCTGATCACTCCTGTGATAGAACCCCAAGCCACTGAAAAATATTTCTAAAAAGTATTGGTCTGCAAGCCTGCCTAGAAAAGATCACACACAGAGTAGGTTTAACAGCATTTATCTTTCATTTAAGTAAAAAAAAAAGGGGGGATATCTTGGTAATCATGCGTTTCCTTTCCATTCATCCTTTTCTCTTAGAAGCAGTGTGATTTCAGAATGGTAGTTGCTTGAGAGGACTGGTCACCCCTGAGACCATGGAGATATGGTCAGCGAATGAGGTCTGTGTCATGCCGTAGCTGCTACCACTTTTAAAACCATGGCACATGACTATACTCTGATCACCTCCCTCCATTCATTTTCCTCCAGTTCTCCCCAGGGATAGGAAAAGAAATAAAAGTGTCCTCAGAGAAAGGACACGGATTTCCCAAGACATGTGAACAGCAAGTCACAGCACCCTCTTGTACATTTGCCTCCTAGCCAGACCTTGGCTTTTTCCTTAGCAGGAAGTAGGTAGCCTTTTCAACAATTCAGTTACTAAGACCACCAAACAAAATAAGATGGACACATTTTCGTAGGTGGAGCAGAGGCACTGAATTTCATCTTGCCTGGTTTTGGTGTCTTGCAGTTGAGGGTGAGGGTCAGCTATAATTAAATTCTGGACGTTTCATAAATCACCAGAGTTTGGAGCATTTTGGGGCAAAAAAAATGCATGATGCTTTAGTCATCTTTTCTTTGAAATCTCAAGCTTTAGATAACTTAAAGGCCCTTTGGGGTTGTGTGGCTGTAAAATGCTCTTATTAGCTGGTCATGAAGGCATTGCATGAAGGGGAGAATCAGCTGTGAGGGAGGAGGGGGAGACTGCAGCCTCTGTAAGGTGCTGAGAAACGCGGTCCCTGCGAAGTCTGAATGAATGCTGCCTGTCTGTGTAGGAGCCGCCTCCCTGTTTCCCCCATGCCGCATCTGCAGTAACTACAAACTATTTGGTATGCTGTATTAGTGACACTGCCTTCACAGACACATCGTTACTACCAAAATAATCCTGGCGTGATGTTCGAGCCCAGTGTCCTTTTTAATTATTTAACTGAGGATGGCGAGTGAGTCATTCCACATTCCAGATTCTCTTCTGGTTCTATTTCAAGTGCTTAGTACCTTAGCTTGTTTCAATAACACCTGGGTTGGTTCTAAGCCAGCTCCCCAATCTGCAAAGCCTTCTTACTACAAACAGTATTATTCAGTCTCCAAACACATACCGACAGCATAAAAAATAGCCAAACCCACAGAAAAACTTTAGAGCGTGAGCTCATCAGGAAACCCAAGATGGGAGAATGTCCAGGTCCCCTCTGCCAGTCCCCAACTTACCAAGTGGGAGAGCAATGAAGAAGGGGAGCCAACACAGGATGAACATTCCAACCACAATGCCCAAGGTCTTGGCTGCTTTCTTTTCCCTGGAGAACTTAAAAAGTTTGACAGCTATGGAACTCCTGGGGTTGTGGCCCTTGGCCTTGGTACTGCTGAGTGTGTCCTCATGAAAGTTCTTGGAGTGAATCCTCAGGGTCAGCTCCTTGGAGTTGGACATCTCCTTCATGACCCCTGCCTCCAGATTCTTGGTGGTCCTCTTGGCCACGATGTAGACTCGGCAGTACATGACCAGAATGACCGCGAGTGGGATATAGAAGGAGCCCAGGGAGGAAAACAGTGCATAGAACGGTTCTTCTGTGACTCCACATTCCTTGTCATCATTAGGCGCTGGCTCTTTCCAGCCAAGCAGAGGCCCGATGGAGATGACGGTAGACAAGACCCATACACTAAGGAGCGCCAAGATGGCCTTCCTGCGGGTGACCAGTGTAGGGTACTGCAGAGAGTAGCGCACTCCGATGTAGCGATCGATGGAGATAGCGCATAGGCTCAGGATGGAGGCCGTGCAGCACAGGACGTCCACGGCTGCCCAGATGTCACAGAAGATGCGTCCCAGCACCCAGTAGCCCAGCACCTCCAGGGTAGCAGAGAAGGGCAGGACCGTGAAGCTCAACAGCAGGTCCGCAATGGCCAGGTTGACGATAAAGTAGTTGGTGGGCGTCCGCAGGTGCCGGTTGCAGGCCACCGACAGGATGACCAGGATGTTGCCTACGATGGCAAAGAGGATGAAGGCGCCCAGCACCAGGCCCACGGAGATGGCCCTGGTGACGTCCAGCTGGGGCAGTGTGGAGTTGCTTGAGGTCTGGTTGGGGCCAGTGAAGTTGGCATCTTTCAACTCTCCCCAGTGGGCAGGTGCTGATGTGTTGTGGCCGGTGTCCAGATCGGAATTCATTTTAGAGTCCGCCCTCCATAGCCAGGGAGGTGATTGGGCTGGGAAGGGCTGCGGCCAAGGCTCCTCAGCTGCCCTGAAACTTTGCTTCCTCCGTGGTCTTCCCAGAGTCGTCCTCCTGGCGAGAAGTCATCTCCCCCGGGCAGTGCAGCCCGGCAGCACGTCTCCTGCCTGCACCGAGCCGCTCGCCTGCCTGTCAGAGGGAGGAGGAGGAGAGAGGGGACGAGGCGGCAGCTCCAAGTTTAATGGTCCACGTCAGGCGCGCCGGGCCGGGCTGGCGCGGGAGCGCGGGGAGGAGCGGGCGCGGGGCCGGGGGCGCCCGGCTGTGCCCGGCCCGCGGCGGGTCTGCGGACCGCGGCGCCTCCTCCGCCCAGCGAGCGCCGAGGAGGGTCTGCTTTCAATGAGCCGCCTCTGGGCTGACTGCACGGCGGTGACATCAGGCGGGGGAGCCTGGGCGCCCTGACTCCGCGCGGCACTAGGGGGCAATGCGGGTCCAGCCAAGGCGTGCGCAGCCCCGACGCCAGCCACCAGCCTAGTCGGCCTGCAGCCGGCGGCGCCCGCACAGCTCCCAGGGCGAGACCTCTGGGGGAGTGGGGGCGGGATGGGACAAGAAGAGGAGGGGACAGGGCGTGGGCATCCCTCCCTGTGCATCCATCCCCAGGGCCCCCGCTGGGCTCATTTTTCCCTCTTGTTCCCCCTTCAGTTTCAAAAGTGGGGTAGGGTACTTACCTCTAGTAGGGGGCTCCTGGAGTCAGGCCAGTGCTTTAGCAGGATGCGCCACTTTCCCCACTTCTACAAGAGGAAGAATTGCAGGGTTAGGCAGGTGGTAGGGACTTGAGCCATATCTGAGACCAGCCCTGCACTTTATTTCCTCCTTGCAACCTCTTTTGTTCTCTTGCTCATTAGTTCATTCCTTTACTCATTCCTTCACACCTGCATGCATTCCTTCAGCGTTATTAGTGCCCACCCCTACCCCCAGTTGTGCCCTAGGCACTGTACTATAGCAACTGCACAGATCGTTAAGGTTCCTGACCTCTAGTGAGGTGAGATATAAGAAACAAATAAATAAGCAAAATTTGAGGCATAACATGTGATTACAGGTATTAGGGAGAAAATTAAGCAAGGAGAGGACAGTACAATGGGGTCACGGAGGAATTCGGATTGGAATTTATTTTTCTTAGGGTCTCATGTCACTCAGGCTGACCTACAACTCACTGTGTAGCTGGGAATGACCTTGAACTCCTGATTTTCCTGTCTTCATTTCCTGAGTGCTGGGATAACAGGTGTTATCCTATAAACCATGGCTGGTTTATGCAGTGCTTGGGAGGGAACCCTGGGCTTTGTGGATGCTAGGCAAGAGCTCTACCAGCTGAACTACATCTCCAGTCTGAATTTGAAATTTAGGGCATTGGATGTCTTAGAACTGGAATTAATGAACAGTTGTGAGTGCTGGGAACTGAACCTGGATCCTCTGCAAAAGGAGCAAATGCTCTTAACTGATGAACCATTTCTCCAGCCCCTTGTTTTGTTTTTGAGACAGAGGCTCATGTAGCCCAGTCACTGTGTAGCTGGGAATGACCTTGAACTCCTGATTTTCCTGTCTTCATTTCCTGAGTGCTGGGATAACAGGGTTATCCTATAAACCATGGCTGGTTTATGCAGTGCTTGGGAGGGAACCCTGGGCTTTGTGGATGCTAGGCAAGAGCTCTACCAGCTGAACTACATCTCCAGTCTGAATTTGAAATTTATTAGAATTAAGAAATATTATTTGTGTGTGTGTGTGAGAGAGAGAGAGAGAGAGAGAGAGAGAGAGAGAGAGAGAGAGGTGTGGTCAAAGTTGTGGAGTCAGTTTTCTCCTTCTACCTTTATGTGGGCTCCAGAAATCAAACTCAGGTCACCAGGCTTGCATGACACATGCTCTACCCTCTGAGCCATCTTGCCTTGGAATGTTTGAGATGTCACTGAAGTGATATTTGGGTCAGGAAGCAAAGGATGGAAGGAGCTAGTTGGCTCTCTGGGAGTGGAGAGTGGGGGGAATAGATTGCCAAACCCTGGGGAAGGGACTTGGAGGATCTTGGTTAGCTATTGGCTTTTTTCTTGTATTGCTGATGCTCATGTTGGACATAAAGCTATAGCTATACTATAGGGCCTACTCCCAGAGGTGAGTGAATGGCAGGTACTTAGGAAGGAAAGCACAAGGGCAATCCAAGAAAGAGTTTTGTTTTTCTTCTTTTGAAATAGAACCTCCCCATTTAATTCAGGTCGGCCCTGAACTCAAGAGCCTCGTATCTTCTAGTTAACCCCATACTTATGCTGTAGATTGTGTGCTGTTTGTTTTTCATTTCTCATGACTTTATGAGAGAAAAACTATTCTCATCCCGACTTCTGTTTTGTGGATGAGACACCAGGACACAGGGAGGTTGAACCCTTTGCCTGTATGACTATCATGGAGAGCAGCTGTGAGTTGAACCCCACTACGGATCTCTCTATTGGAAGCCTTAGCTGCAGAGTCATGCTGTTCCTACAGGGGCAAAGTAGGGACTGGGGTGAATGCTATGAACGAGACAGTTTTCAAGTGGTTAATTTTGTAGCTCAAGCTACTGGTGCTGGGCAGGAACTCACATTTGTTGAGCTCCTGTGGATAGTCAAACATTTACTTATTTCCCTTCCCTACCCCCCTTCCCTTCCTTTGAAAACTTTTTCTTTCTTTTTGCTTTTTTTTCCCACTTTCTTTTAGACAGGGTCTTGCTATGTAGCCCACACTGATCTTGAGTTCACAATGAACAACAAACTGGTCTCAAACTCTGCGGTCCTCTTGCCTCAGCCTCCCTAGTGCTAGGATTGCATGCGTGAGCCACCACACCCAGCTTACTTGTTTTCTTTTACTCTTTGTAACTGTTCTTTGAGAGAGGCATAATGACTCTCCACGGACACAGGAGAAAACAGTGGTTTAGAGAGTTAGTCATATACTGGTGACATGCCGCAGAGCACTGGATAGTGGAGGCTGGACTGAAACATGACTCCTGACACTTCCTTCTTCCAGTCCACAAACTGTGTCCCCGCTTCTTACTCCTGCCGTTGACAATCATAGTATCTTGATTAAGGGGTGAGGAAGCAGGGGTCATCCAAGGTGATTTACATCTAAGCTCCTCAACCTAAAGGTGGGCTCTTCTTCCCTCCCTCCAACCCTTCTTCCCTCCCTTCTCCTCTCTTTCTTTCTCTTTGTGTCTTTCTTTAAAAAGATTTATTTTGTGTGTGTGTGTGTGTGTGTGTGTGTGTGTATCATGTGTGTATGGATGCCTGTGGAAGCGTTGGATCCCCTGGAGCTGGAGTTACAAGGTTACCAACACATGTGCTGGAAACTGAACTTGGTTCTCTGGAAGAGCAGCAAGTGCTCTTAACTACTGAACCATCTCTCCAATCCCTCTTCATCTCTTTTTATTTTTGCTCTCTGGAGAGGAGGGTAGGTGGTCTTCATACACATTTAAGGTTTTTCTTATTGTTTATTTTTGAGAGAGTCTCATTTGTAGCCCAGGCTGGCTTAGAACTCCCTGTGAAGTCCAGGATGGTCCAGATTCCTTCTGCCTCAGCCTCATAAGTACTGGCATTACAGGCACATGTCACTATATTTGGATAGACTTAAGGTCTTAATATTCTCCCACTAAAATCCATAGACTCCTCAACTGCACAGAAATACACAATTTCAAGGAATTTCTCTGAGGTTAAAAAAATCTGTGGTAGAAACAGCCCTGAAAACAGACATTTCTGTTTCTATTAATCTGGCCCAAGTGGCCTTTAGAGAGTTTATAACAGGAGATCCTAGGCTTGTGATGACGTGGCTTTGCAGGAGTGCTCAGGACCTTAACTCACCCATCTTGCTATCATAGAGACTGTGCATGGCAAAGGGCAATGGTTGGCTGCCACAGATGAGCAGAGCCATTGCTGGGTGTTAAGCTGGGCTTTCCTGGCCCACAGAATGGGCTTCTTCTGAAGCAGACAAAAGCCACCAAGACAGCCACTCCTCGTTTCCACAGTGGTGTATGGACCAGAACAGTTTATCCAGCCTTCTGCTGGGGATCATGATGAAAAAAGAGAGGCTGTCTTTGGTCTTGGATGACAATGGTACTAATGTGTGTGCAGACAGAGGCTGGTCCTGATGACATTTTGAGTTATCCCCATTCCCCTGCTGGGTAGAATGGTCCCTAAAACAATCTTGCTGCCCTTCCTTCCCTTCATCTTACATGGGAGGGATGGCAGTGAGATGTCATCCAGCAATTCCCAACATTCCTATGTATCTTTAGGGCTAGGAGCTTCTCTGAAACCACTTACTGTCAAGGGTGATATGGGAGAGGAAGAGTTGCTGGTAATTGGGGGCAAAGCTGGTGTTTAATACAAAGGCAGGGATGTGGGGAGGGCAAAGGAGGAGGCAGAAAGAAGGGCAAGTTCCCAGTCCACATTTTGATTGTGGTAGCCCATTTCCCACTTCCTTGGGTATTAATTTCACCAGGTATTAAACAGCCAGCAGCACACCACTGAATCCATGGAAGCCACGTCTGCATAGTCACAAGTAGCTGTAGTGCGAAAACCCAGTCAGTCTATCTGACATTTTTCTATGGTGGCAAAAGACCAGGAAAGGAAGGAGCAAAACAAAGAGCAAATCTGAGATTCAGAGTTCGTTTATCTTTATTACCAAAGAGAATAGTTTGTGTCTCAGATGAGAATTTGTATCTTGATTCAGGTGTCAGGATGTGGAAGAGATGGCCGAGCCAGAGAGAGAAGTTCAAAATTGTCACAGATTTCTGACATGCTGTCATTTATGGGTGTCTCTTGCATAGGCAAAACAAACATCCCACCATAAAGGAAACAGAATCCTTAAGAGCAGTGAGGTGGTGGGACCCCACTAAGCAAGCCCTATAGTTGGTCACTTCATTGCCCCCTCCCCAGCCCCTTTACTGAAAGAGAAAACCATGGCTGAGTTTTGACCCATGGAATTGTTTAGGTGTCATGAGGGTACAATGATATTTCATTTTCTCGGTACTCCCTGGGGCAAAGCCAAGCACAGAACTCTGACTCATTCGAAGCTTGGGGAAGAAGAATCTTTTTATTACCCATCTTATTACATTAGAAACCTCTGATGCTGCAAAGCTCCATTTCTGTGAACCCTCTAGGAGAAGCTGTCACTGAATCTGACCAAAAGGGAAACTGAGGCTGACAGTGATCTGCTTAGGGCATCTCTGGGAGGGGACATCTTGCCTGTAATTGTAGAGTTTTTCATGGTTTTCTCTGTCTAGCTCTCTCCAGTTTTCAATGCATCTATTTTGTGTGAGGCACCACATTAAGTGCCATGGGTGAGCCAAAGCTAAAGTCAGCAAAAGGTAACCTAGCAGTGACCATCCACTAAGCATGGGAGATGAAGATAAAAACCTTTCAGAGAGAGCCTACCATGTGCCAGGAACCTGAAAGGTACTCTGTGTACACTGACTCTAGTCTTCACAATAGTACAAGGAAGGACTTATGCCCATTTCACACATGAGGAGACCGAAGCTCAGAGAGGTTCCATGTGACATGGCCAAGGCCATCAGTGAGCAAGTAGCATTGGTATTTAAGGCATTATTGTCTGGCTCCAAAGCTGACATCTTTCTCTCTGCACCAGACTGAGAGTTTTAAAAAAGCAGCAGAAGGCTCCATGTTAGCCTGAAGGAAATTACAGCAGAAAACAGAATGTGACCAGGGTCCTGAGTGAGCAGAGGTCAGGGAGGAGGGGAGGCAGAACATTGCTGAGAGAGGGTTCT